GAAAAAAAAAAAAAAAAAAAAAAAAAAAAAAAAAAAAAAAAAAAGTCTGCAGGACTTTTTTGAGGTATTGTATTTAATTTATAAACCAATGTAGGGAGAATTAAAACCATTACAACACAAAGTCTTTCAGGCCATTTATTTAGGTTTTTTTAATTGCTTCATAATAATGTTTTATAATTTTTTTTCTGAAAGATCTTGTATATCATTGTGAAGTTTATTCCTAGATACTTCATAATTTTATAGTATTGTAAAAACGTTTTTTTTACTTTTGCTTTCTAATTGTATATAGGAATATGATTAGCTTTTATATAGATTTTTGTATCAAGCTGTCTGCTAAATTCTCTTATTTGTATTGATAATTTATCTGTAGATTCATTCTACATACATGACCATATTATCTGTGAAGAGGGATAGTTTTTGTTTCTTTCCAATCCTTATACCTGTTGTTTGTTTTTTCTTGCCTTATTGCTTTGGATAGGATCTCCATTATAGTGTTGAATAGATGTGATAGTGGGTATTCTGACCTCGTTCCTCATCTAAGGATAATTTATAGCATTTCACAAGTAAGTGTGATATGATATGCTATATAGTTTTTTAAAAATAGATATGTTTCGGGCCGGCCCGGTGGCGCACTGCTACAGTGCGCCGCCTGGGAGCACAGCAGCGCTCCCACCGAGGGTTTGGATCCCACATATAGACTGGCCGCTCACTGGCTGAGCGAGGTGCGGGAGCAACACCGAGGGTTGTGATCCCGTTGCCGGTCCCGGTCCGGTACAGGCGCGACACTGAGGGTTGCGATCCGTTGCCGGTCACGAAAAAAGACAAAAAGGAAAAAAAAAATAGATATGTTTCATCAGATTAATAAAGTTCTAGTCCTAGTTTGCTGAGTTTTTCTTAATTTTGAGTAAATACTATCAAGTGCCTTTTCTCCATCTATTGGGATGATCATGTGATTTTATTCTTTGTTAATGTGATGAGTTACATTAATTGATTTACTTTTTAAAATTAAATTTAAGGAATGGGAGAGCATTGATATAGGGTGCATAGCATATATTCTGAGAGATGATGGCAAGATGTCTAAATGGAATTTGAACTTTAATCATAATGTAAAAGATGGGGTGCATCACATATGTCAAAATGATGAAAATTGTGAAAGTTGGTGGTAGGTACATGTGGAGTTAAATTGTTGTATCTGCTCTTATGTATGTTTAAACATTTTTATAGTAAAAAGCTTTAAAAAATGAAAATAATTTAGGAATCGGTAATATGTTCACATGTGTCAGAAACCTTTGCTCCTTGTACCTGTTTCTACTACCAGGTGTTGATAACCACTTCCATTAATTTTTTTGTTTATCCATCAAGTGTTTCTTTTTGCAAATATAGGTGTGTGCATATATATGGTTTTATTTTCATTTCTTCATGTTATTTTATTTTATAATTAAAGCAACCTTGCACTTCTGGGATCTGCGTGACCCAACTTGGTTATGATGAAGTATCCTTATATTTTTAGATTTGGTTTATTAATTTA